TCTGAGGAAAATTCAGTGATGTTTACTTTCCCAAGACTTGAAAGAGGTTAATTCTACTTTCTTAGTGTCGACGGTATTTTTAACTGAGGCTGCTGCATTATTTATAGTCCCAGCAATTAAATGTAAATTACTCAGAACCCTCTGGACTTCTGCCTCAGAGGATAATATATGGACAGTGCTGGGTGGTGCCTTTTTTGAAGATCATCTAAGAGATGCACAGAGGAAAACCAAAGTCCAATGATATTGGAGAAAATCTAAGGAGTTCATTTCCTAAATGTTACCTTATTGCACTTCTCACTCTGCTTATTGATAAACATAAACTTAATTCACTGTTGCAAAAGTCTTGTAGCTAATATACTGTGTTCTAAATTATTTGGTGCAGTGATGACAATCTGGCAGAACTATTTTTGTACAGCCGTGTTTTCAAGGATGTTGGTGCTGCATTCTCTCAAGGGTATTGAAATCTGAGTAATTTCCTCGAATTATTAATAGATGCCACTATATTATTAATAATAGCCCTAGAACTAAAATATGAATTATTAGGAAATACTTAAATCTATGACTTTAGTGTATACAGCAGTTAAAATTATGTTTTTTACATCTCTTACTAACTATATTATAGAAAATATCTATAGATACATAAACTATTCCAGGAAGATCTGGGATATTTCAGTTAATACAAAGAGTCTTTTTTTTATTTTTAGGAAATAATCATAATTCGTGTTACGTGAATAATGATCATTTTTGTTTCCATGGCTTATGAAATAAAATGTAAACTCTGTGTATATTTCACATAAACATATATATGGACATACACATATAAACACACCCATATTGTGTAAAAGGCTTAGGGACCCTTACAGAATGTCACAGAGCAGAAAGAAAAGGAAGGTGGGCCTGAGGTATGAAGATGAGGAAAAGACAATGTGGGGTGTACGCTCTAATTTGCGAAAATTAGGCAGGAAATCTGGCTTTGAGCTGCCTAATGGCCAAAACAAAATAATTTAGTAATACTGGTCACATGGAAAACAGGAACAAATACACATGCAAGTTCCTTAAACAAAACAAAAGGATGCCTGTCATTGTGAGTGAAAAGAAACGTCGTCACTGTGTCTTCACAGAAGGGCCCCTAAACAGAGTGTGACAGCAGCGGGACCCCACGGCAAACGTGCTGGCCACCTCCTGGGACGCTGTCTGGGGGTGCTCCGCACCCCGCAGGCCGGTGTCGCGCAAAAGAGGAACCTGGGGAGGGCAACGCCGAAGGGACCAGAAATGCGGCCCGAACGTGCGGCCCTCTGGCAGGGGAGTGTAATTGAGGGGCATAAACTAGAACATGGAGCGGAATAAATGGACCATGTGCCCACTTCACTGGCTTCTAAGTGTTCCGTTTCTTCCCACTGAGTTTTAGGTAAAAGCCGATCCACGGACAGTCTGAAGTTACAGTCTCCTGCAAGCCGTCTGTGACGCTGTCCAAGGGCAAGTCTTTAAAAACTAATGGTGCGTCCCTGGAGCGCAGGAGCCGGAGTACTTTTGGTGCTTTTTGGGGTTTATTCACTATATAAATAAACAAGCATTCGAGGGTCTAAGGTTTTTTAGAATAGAACATGGTCACAAAGAATAGGGACCTGAGTTTTGTTTCTCTTGATTTTGGATTATTACAGTACTGGTTTCCCAGAATCACCTGGGGAACATGTTAAACGCAGCTTCCCAGGCGCCATTACACACTGATGCAGTGGCTCTCAGGTGGAGCCTGGAAGTCAGGTAATTCTGCTGAAGACAGTCCAGGAACTATACTTAGAGACCATTATTCTCCAGAGGGAGCGAGCTCCCAGTACTTGCTTTTAAATTTCACCTTCTTAACTGTGTCCTCAGTTCTCTTGCTGAATATTTAGATCTGTGAGCTCCTTGCCGACACACTGACAGTTGCAAAGTCTCTGAACTGCGTGGTCAGTTGATTACGGGCCAGTTCTGGGCCTGCTTGCTGAGAGTTCTCCGCGTCTCATTGATCGCCGTTTCACGGTTATGTTTCTCCTGGACAGCCAGCTCTTCTGTTTGCAGCACAGGGACAACGTGATTTAGATATTGCTGCTCTGCCCCCCTCTGCACCCCTGGCTGCCGAGAAGTTTAGAGAAATCTATGGCTCGCCTTTGGCAAGTACCTAGAATTTCTAAACTCACCTTGGCCTTGTCTTTCTTTCCTACTCTTACTTCCCTTGCCTCAATTCCCTCACTGTTTTTACATTTTATATTTATTTTCAAAGCTGCTTCAGATTTTCTATGGAACAAGGCCAGTGTGTGTGTGGGGTGTGTGTGTATGTATAGAGGTGGGGAGAAGTAGGTTTACAGTTGTTCGTATGGAGAATAATATAATAATTAATAAATAATACCAAAATACACTCTGTGTTTCATGTACTCACAACTGTAAAACCTACTTTTTGCCAAACCTGTATGTGTAAGTGGACTAATTAATACTAGTTAGAAATTTGATGGCAAAAACAATGAACTATGAATAAGAAGGTTTGGGTTTTTCCTTGAAGCTGCAACTTTATTGTCATTTAACTAATACATATCACAATCTAATTCTCCCAAAATGTTGATTTATATAATGCTTTCTTAAAGATTTTTTTTGAGGATTAATGGGTTTGAAACCACTTGGTTAATTTGTAAAGTGTTACATAAATTTAAAAAACATGATTACATTATTTCATTAACTGTGTATTGCTATCACCTCATACTTTAATATGAATCGGCAAGTGAGTTTTGGTCAATGATGAGAAAAAATATCTATCAAATTTTATGGGCATGTGTTCTAACCCATTTCTATTTTTAGGTAGAAGATATTACAAAAAGCTTTAACAATTGACAGAAAAGTGATTATGCGAACAAAATCAGAAAATGCAAACTTTTTGTATCAATCCTTCTTTCAACAAATTGACAATTTGTAGGTTAACCGTTCAGCACTCCACTTATTGCCCACCCCTGTCCCTGGCATGCAATTCTGCTCCAGCACATGCCATAGCAGCCTGGAATCATTTATCTTTATAACTGCCGACCATATTCGACTCTGTGCTTCTTCAGGACATCATCTCACTTATTATTGTGTCCGCAGGGCCCAGCTACTACTTGATGCACAGTAGGTGTTCAATAAATGATACTAAATGAATAAACAAACACGAAAGAACAATTGCTTTCTGTCCATCAGAAAAAGGGCTGGCATACTGGTATTGTGCATTCAGTTTAGTCACCTACTTCCTTAGCACTGAAGCAGGGTCCTAACTGTCCAGCAACTCAACGCTCGGAAATGAAAGTGGACACGCAGCAAACCAAGGCGACTTGAGGGTCCGAGGATGCTGCTCCTTTGCTGGAGGCAGTCTTCCAGCAAAGGGAAAGGACAGCCCTTTCAACACGAGCAGCTTCCTCGCCTGGACTGCAGGGGGCGTGTTCACATGCCAGTGACTGGGGCGAGGAGGAATGCTTTGCCAGCGTTCAGTGAAGTGAGCCTAATAGCAACGCTTCCTCATCCCCACTCAGGGACAGACAAAGGCCCTTTCTCACCCGGAGACTTCCTTAGAGAGCAAATGGCTGGGAATGTAGCTGCTACATGAATTCTTAATGTCAATTATCTGCACGAAAACTTTGATAAATACAATTTTTAACAAAAAGAACATAACCCAGAATGAATGGGGCGTGACCTTCAAAGATTACAGTATTCTAACATGCCTAATCCACAGCACAAGAAAACATGCATCTGTGCTCATGGATGACACAGCAGAGTCTTTTTCTTACACATCTTCGTGTTTTAACTTCTGGGCGGTGTAAAGCAGGAAGAGCTAAACCATAAAACCTATCGTAAGTATAAAAATACGTGGAATGCTCGCAGAGTGTAATGAATTCAGCAAGTGCTTGCTGGAATGCTCAGGAACACAGAAGACGTGAGCATGCGCAGTGTAACGCCGCCGCCGCCGCTCTCGGGAAACTTACGGTCCCATACAGAGCTTTTCACTACAAGGTACTCACAGAACTGGGCGAAAATAAGCAAGGGTATCACTGAACTTGTCGTGAAAAGAAAAATGTTATGTAACTATGACCAACTGATTTTTCTTTTTTACCAAAACAATTATCTTCAACAGATTTAAACACTCTTTTTACTGACTACCAGGAGGTTGAAAATTTTTAACAAAATGTACCTCAAGCTATAAACATTTTGAGAACCAAAACTACTCTAAAAAGGAAAATAAACATGTTACTACATTTTGAAATTTAAAAAATTTTTCATTTCAAAACAATTATATGCCATACAGACATAAAAATCATATAGTTATTGTTAATATATGCAACATTGTTTATAAAAGTTTTAACTGCTCTTGGCTTCTTTCCTTGCTTTGTCATAGGCAAGACACCTACAATATGCAGATGCTGGTCTTTATGTCATAAATAAAATTTACTGCCCTGGCGGGTGTGGCTCGGTGGACTAAGCGCCAGCCTGCGAACCAGGGGTTCGATTCCCAGTCAGGGCACGTGCCTGGGTTGCAGGCCAGGTCCCCGGCAGGGGGCTCATGAGAGGCAACCACACATTCGTGTGTCTGTCCCTCTTTCTCTTCCTTCCCCTCTGTCTAAAATAAATAAATGCATTTTTTTTAAAAATAAAAAATAAAATTTACTAACAAAAAATGTGGCGTGCAGATTTCTGTTGACTGGAAATTAGTTTCTCTTTTAAGTCAGAAACTTCTTACTCTCCTTTTTGTGATGTAAATGTGAATTTGAGTAACAGACATAAGAATACAGACATAATAGATGTTATTTCTTACTCATTTTTTAAGTTTTCAGAAACCCCTTTACGTTGTGTTTTGATTATAGGCTGCCTAAATTGGTTTAGAAAATAAGCAGATATAAATTAACAACTTGATTTTGAACTTAGCAAGACTATGAACTGCAAAATTAAAAAACAATCATTTGTTCCTGAAAAGTCTCCACTTTGCATGCTGCCGCAGGCGTCTGTACCTGCAGATGGCCGGGAAACACTCCTGAAGACCCTTCTTCTTAACCAGAGACCCTTCCAGGCAGTACATAATGATGTCCATAACCTGCGGAGGAAAGATGCAAATCTAAAATTAATTTCAAATAGTCAATTTTCCAAAATTAAGTGATTAACTTAGGGCCTCACTTGCCCATGGAAATTCTAGACAGCTTACTCTTAATATTTACTTTAGCACTACAGTATATTCTTTTATCTGTGAAAAACACTCCTAGGACAGTGCAATAAAATAAAAAGACTACTTGTTTCCTTTAAAAACTCTTCATATTTATGCCCAGGTTAGTAACTTTTATTTAAGCACACTGTATGTTTCATTTTATCTATAGTGAAAGATGTCCAAGAGAACGTGACCTTTAAAAATCACTCTAATGCAGCCCAATTAATTCCATGTGAATGATAAATGGACGCGGCAATCATTCTGATTTTTGAGGACATTTAATAAGGGCTCCAGAAATGGTACAGAAGTTAATTCAATTCAGTTATCTCCTTTGTTGCAGAGATTTATATATGACTGCGCTGGAACATTAGGCTGTGGCTACGTCCGTCCTTTAAAACAGGAAGTTCTTACCTCCACAAGAAGATCCACGACATCCGTGGGCATCTTCTCAATGAGAATCTCGATGACTCTCAGAATCTCCCCCTTGGCCCGCGCAAGCGTCGTCGTGTGCATGTTCTGCTGCGACTGGGTGTTGGCCGCCAGAGCGGTGTGTCTGTGGACCTACGAAAACATTGCACGCTGCAGATGCGGCTGACACCTGGTCCAGTTTTACATCCCCAGCCATTGGTCTATTTTTCACTTATTATCATGGAAAAATAAAAGAATCAACAGGCACAAATCTCCTGAGATGAGTCAGGAAAGACTTTTGATTGCAAAAGAAGGTATTTAGTACCATATAAACTCAGGCAAGTCTTGTTTAATTAAATTTTGTAAGTCCCTGGGCATGGGAGACTTGAATGCCATATCACCATGGCATTCCTGTAACAAGGACAGGCTGAAGGTCTGTGAAGTTGGTGTGTCTGGCACTGAGGTGGGGAGCAGCTAAGACACTCAGCAAATACAAGAGATGACCCCTGCTTTCACTTAACAATAGTGAATGATGTTTACGTGGCACTTTGTCTCCGGCAGCATTGCATTCTAGGTGCTTTATAATTCAGTTGGGAAATTCAAATAAACACGTCTCCAAAACCAACAAGCATTGTAAACAATGCAGGTTTAGCGTGGATGCCCCCTACCCCCAATCTGGGTCGTCTGCCTTCCGTGGTTCACTGGAGAAAGGGCATGCGTGGGCCCTGGGCTAGCCAGGGGGCGCGGGCGTGGGGTTAGGGAGGCACCCTTCAGTATTTTACTCAAAACTCTAAGTGAAGTGGAAACTTGTATTTAAAAAGGTAGTAAATGTGAACTATGACATTAAAATATTTAAAAATTACCTTTCTAACCAAGTGCTGGAATAGAATAAATCCAAAGCATAGCCATTCTAACAGTTCACTTAAAAATACCCATATATGTAAATGGTGCAAATTAAGTTAAAAAACACAAGGAGATACAAATGCTTGTTTACTTTCTTTAAAGAGGCGGTTTAATGCCTGGCATTGATAGGGCCTGTGTATATGGTCAGAGTGCTGTGAGGCCTGCTCAGCACACTCAGCATTACTGTCTGTGCGTATTCCACTGATGGGAAAAACTGGCAAAAAAAATATTCCACAGCTAATAAGTCTGTTCATTTATATGTACATACACTTTATATAAAGATATAATATCTATAAAATATATAAACACACATATACATATATGTATGCTTTAAATACAGTGGAACCTCACTTTTAGGTCTATACCTAAAAAACACACACCTTTAGGTCTACAGATTTATTTTTGCTATGAGTACAAGGTCTCACGGCCTCGTATAAACCTGTACCATCTGCTTTCGGGCCCTTCCTCCCCCGCTTCTAGCTGCCTTCGAGTCACGAATATTTGCCGGATGCCTATCAAGGATGGCCCCGGGCCAGACACGGGCCCAGTAGGGTTCAGGTTATCAAGGCAGACTCAGAGGCATTTATTTAGTATTTTAAAAATTCATCACAGGTAACAGAAATACAAGTCAGACCGAGCCCATACCCCACAGACACCAAGTCTGTACGATATTCAGGCTGAAATGGAACAAACCTTTAAAAAAACTGAGGCGCTTACCACCCCTTCCTGTATTTCCCACTAGTAAGACCTACAGGAAAGATCTATAATTGGTGCACTGCTCTCTACTAGGTTTTCAGTTAGATGCGGGCAATTAGTTAGAACACTAGGAATGTGGGAATCAATTGGCATTCAAGCCTTTAGTTGTGACATGTAATAGCAAAAACAATTAGCAAGTTTATGACTTTCACATTTTTGTTTACAGCTGGAGAGCCAGTGTTAAATAAGAAGTTTGGTTTTGATGACAGGTACACACATTTGTAGAACGTAAAGACCTTTAATATATGGGGTGGGGGGGGCAGGGCAAAAGTAGGTTTACAGTTGTTCATATGAAAAATAATACAGTAGTTAATAAATAACAATACAAGAATAAACTCCGTGTCTTGAGTACTCACAACTGTAAACCTACCTTAGCCCCATCTTGTATTTTAATTTGCATAAGCTCGCTATGTCAGATTGAAACATGATTGCCAAGTATTTACAAGTGAATCAACTGCTAGGATAGAAATGACTAGAAAAGCAGCAAGTACTGAATGCACTGCTGTTGAGTTCAGAGTGTGTGCACAGGTACGACGTGTTCCTTTCAGTACACGATTACTACTGGCACTGCCACAGAGCACACTGGAAGGCTTATTTGTGGATGCAGACCCTCGACTCACAGTATCAACCAATCCCTCCAAAGGAGAAGACGGAGCCCGGAGCGGCACTCACCTCCTTGGCAATGGTGGTGATGAAGGCGGGTGGTCTGGCCGTGGCAATGAGGGAGAGGGCATGCCTCGCTGAGCGGGCGGAGTCAGCTGCTGGGCTCAGAGGCAGCCCCATTGTGATGCTAAACAGGGATCAGAAGAAAGGAAAAAAAGAAGCATTAGAAATATAGACTGAAAAGATTAGACACAGCTTATAATGTCAGTTCAAGGTCAATGGGAGCACTCAAACAGTTAGAATATAATGGACTTGCAACAATGAGCAGTGATTAGGAGTCAGAGTGTTCTGGCATCAAATACAAAATCGAATAATTAACCGTGAAGATTGAAAACAGTATGTGCATCTGTCCGAAGTGTTACAAACGCCTTGTTAACAAATTATCAAGAACTAGTACTGAATACATATCACTAAGCTCAGAATAAGGCAAGAACAAATATTTTGCTGGGCACTCTCCATTTCTTTCCTAAAAAAAGTTAAAGGTAATTTGCTTATAACGCTTCATTACCAGGCTATATTTAAGGCCACGTGTCTAAAAGGGAGCAAAATTCACTCCTGTCCGTGAAATTACTCCAAGAACTGAGAATGACAAATTTATATTTTGCTTGCACACTATTTTTAGTTTAAAGTATCCCTAGTACTGCTAGTTTAGTCCCACACTTAATAGTTAGAACCAACCCACTAACCAGTATGCCCTGCCGATAGTTACTTACTATTAATGAAAAAATTATAGCAACTGATAGTCAGCCTGGCATTGTCCAGGCTGCACACAAGAACAGCTACATGGTAACACAAATCTCCCCAAACTGTGAGGGTGTCCTAATAGGATAGCGATGTCACTGATACTGCTTTGCCATCCCTAAAACATACAAATGACATTTTTCTGTTTCTAAATTTCCTTTATATTATAAAAGTATAATTTCCTTTATATTATAAAAGTATAAATTTCCTTTATATTATGAAAAGTATTTACTTATAATTAAAATGCACCATGTCATCCACATTATCAACTGTATATACAGTATATTTTGTTATTAAGAGACCCAGTCTTAGTTTCTCCCTCTAGTTAAATAACTTTTATATTTAAGCAGCCATATGCAGTCACAAGAAGAGCTGCCCTGTTCTAATTAAATAAGTCTGTGCTTTATGTGTCAACTGGATTACATTTACTAAAAATTCTCAAAACGTTTACCAGTATTTCTATGCTTTATCTAAGAATCACTGTTTTAAGTTTGCGTTGAAAATAAAGAGGCATTAGGTAGGCATTCTCATCATTGTTAAAAGAAAGTAAAGTGATTATAGAAAATTCTGCTCATCATTTCTTTGTGACTGTTACGCTGCTTAAATCTTTGAGGATAACACGGTCAAAGCAGGAACTAGGAGGAGAGGGGATGGTGAGCCTTCCTTTGATGTTCGCCACTGGGAGGAGAGACGAGAGCCCAGAGGACAAGCACACGCCCCGAAACACCAAACAGAAGGCAGGCGCTGGGGGGGGCGCCGCCCCCATGGCAGAGCCCCATGCAGGGGTCCCAGCGGGGGCTGGGAGGAGTTGCTCGCCAGGAAAGCATGGAGGGGCAGCTCAGTGAGCTGCTTTCCTGGATTAAACTTTAATATTGAAGATTCGGTAAGAGAAATGTTTACTCTGTGAGCAGTGCTGGGGCTAGATTGCTTAATAATTACAAGGTGTAGATCATATTTTCAGTCAGGTTTTAAGACAATCAAATGCTCATTAAACTTCTGGATGCTCTACGATGTTCCCTTTTTTCATCAATGCGAATGAAGAGGTGTCGATGATACTGGCAGGCTAAAACAAACAAAAACTCTATGTTCATTGAAGAATTCTGAACAAACCTAAATCAAATTTTATAAGATCAATAAAAATCACCGAATAGTGGAGTTGGAAAAGATCTCTTAGCAGCATCCCTGCCAAGCAGCGAGCCGAGGAAAGCGTTAGGGTGGTCGGTGATGCAGGCTGTGGGAGAATTCACAAAGGGCAGGAAGTGCAGAGGGTAAAGGGTTTATTTTTACTTCCCCAAGGGAGGGACAGGGCTGGGCTGGAGACGTGCGCCAGCACCAGCCCCAGCCCCAGCCCCGAGGGGTCAGGGCTGTGAGTCCTCACTGGGTGATGGGGCGGCTGCAGAGCAGGATGTTTCAGTTGGGCTGCAACTTGTTTCGATGTCGTCTTCGGGTGCAAGGTCCGGTGGTCACTGTGGTCTGGTATGTCCTATTTCATGGGTGCCTTCAGGGCACTTCCAGTAATTTTCTAGTCCTGAGGATAGCGGCTCATAAAACAATTCGGGTCAGTCGGGCTTGGGGGTCTGGCTAGCTCCGGGAAGGAAGGCCTGAGAAAGTGGCTTTCGTCCTATTAGAAAGGAGACTGTGTCCTGGGAGGCCTCTCCCACACCTGGAAGGAGGACACCGAGGAAAGAAACTGGGCATGGAGCCCAAGGACGAGGTTTGAAGTCAGATGCTGGTGCTACTCTTGCATGTTGCCTTGTATCTGCCCCCGAACATCCTTACAAGGCAAGTGACATCAGCATGTCACGGAGAAACCAGGCCCAGACACGCTCTGCGAGGAGCCTGGGTAACAGTGAGTGTCTTTCAGAACAGCTGGCCTTAGAAGAGATGTGGGGGAGGGGCTCGACGGTATTACAGTTCACCGAATTCATGAAGTGGTACCGTAAACGAACTCAGCGGCTCTGGTTGAATGGGTAGATTGTATCCCTGAGAGGAGTTTCAAGTAGTGCGCTGTATGGCTCGTACTTCAGCTCCATTGTATGCGGTATCAAGAGCGGTTTGGACAAAGATTCGGGGTGTGAGGTTATCACCTGGTGTGGATATGAGGTTGTCACAGGGAGCAGCTGCAGTCAAGTTTGGTGGCGGGTGGTGGGGTCTAGAAGCCATAGACGAATGGGGAAGGAAGCTCACCCAAGACAGACAACTGTAAGTACTGCCCAGTGACTTCGGCGGAGGCTGGAACAGCCAACGTGTGGTAGAGGCGTCGATGTGTGCCTTCGAGTGCCTCTCGCCAGCAGTGCCGGGCAGCCCGGGCGCAGGACTGCACGCAGTGGACAGCTCCGCCGTTCTGGGGTCAGGGGTCTGCAGGGGCCTTTAGAGCAGGCACCGCGTGAAAGCAGGAGAATTGTGAGAGGGACAACAGAAGGGAGTTGCCAAGGCTCAGGGGAAGGAAAGAACCCTCGTCTCTCTCCCCTACGGTCTGTTCAATGTGCAACTGCCCAGGCACTCTTCCGAAAGCACCGGCTGGATCTCACGGTTAGTTAACCTGCTGACAAACTTCCAGTGGCCCCTAGTGCTTCTGAGACAAATCTGAAACTCCTTGGTGTGAGACTCTGGCCACCGTGTCTGTCTAGTTCCACTAATTTATAACTCAGTCTTTTCACCATCGACGCTCCCGAGGCAGGCTAATTTCTTTCTTTCTTTTTTAAGATTTTATTTATTTATTTTTAGAGAGGAAAGGGAAGGAGAGAGAGAGAGAGAGAGGGAGAGAGAGAGAGAGAGAGAGAGAGAGAAACATCAATGTGCTGTTGCTGGGGGCCTGCAACCCAGGCATGTGCCCTGACTGGGAATCGAACCTGCGATGCTTTGGTTCGCAGTCTGCGCTCAATCCACTGAGCTATACCAGCCAGGGCAGAGGCAGGCTAATTTCAAAGTTGGTCCCTAAAATTCTGTTCCTGTTTCTATTGTAGTATTTTGCCAGTGCCTCTTGCCTACCCTTTTTCCTCCCTTTGTTCAATTCTGTGGAAGCCCACACGGTATTCCGCAATTGCTATAGCACTTGATTACCTCCTATCGAAACAAAACAACCATCACCGACGCCTGTGCATTCCAGGCCCTTGGCCTTGACTCCCATCTGCCAGGCCATAAGAATGGATTTTGTGTTGCGAACTCCTTACAGACCGGGACCACGCCTTCTAATCCTGTTTTTCCCCAAAGTGCCTACGACAGCCCTCGGACCAGGTGGTGGCTCCATAGTTATACACTAAATGAAGTTACCTGGCAAATTCAGCAGGAAAAAGAAAATCACTTAAGCCAGTTATTTGACTGAATTGACCAGGCAGTGAAGTCAAAGTAATTGATCCGGTTGCCCCAACGGACACAGTCTAATTCCGCACGTGGGGATCTTCAAAGTCAAGAGGGCACTGTGTGGGGGACTCTAAATGAAGAAGGATCATGCCGTCGGAGGTCTGGAATTAAAGGAGCGTCTGCCCGATTCTGGAACCTGTGTGCGCGCACAGAGCTCACTCTTTCCATCGGATTTTGCGGATCTGGCTGCTGTGTGTATTGTTCATCAAGCAGGTTTTACAGGCTGGGCCGATGGTTTCAGTCTTTATTCTAAAAGAATATGATATGAGACACTCCCTGTTTTACTCGGCATTTCGGAACCCACATGCAACATGAAGTACTGGAGATGATAGATAGGAGAAATAAAAACACAAATAGAAAAATGGCCCACTCGGGCTGAGCTCATCCCTTACATGACTGCTCATTAATCCTGTTCTAATCCTCATTCCACTGCGGCAAAAGCATTTAAAAGCTACCTGTAAGACCACTTTGGTTAAATGTCACGTCTGTAATGGTCAGCCTTCCCCATCTGTCAGATGAAGGACTACTGAAAGGGAATATTCGGGAGGAGAAACACTCTAACTTTCATTGGACAATCTGCCCGTCGTGGCCAACAGTGGTAAGGACTAAACGCTTGTGTCCCCCTTAAATGTCATGTTGTGGAGCCCTAACCTCCACGGTGATGGTGTTCGGAGATGGGCCTTTGGGGGGTGACTGGGGGTAAAGGAGGCCGTGGGGGTGGGGCCCCCGTGATGGGGTTAGTGGCCTGTAAGAGGCACCAGAGGGCTTGCTGGGCGTCTTTCTCCCGAGTCACGAGCCCAAAGCACTCTTGCGAGGACACAGCCACGTGGCAGCCACCCAGAGGCCGAGAGAAGGGGCTTTAGGATGAATCCCACCTGGCCAGCACCTTGACCTTAGACTTCCAAGCCTCAGGAACCGTGAGAAATACATTTCTTTTGCTTAAGTCATCACGTCTGTGGTGTTTCCTTATGGCAGCCCGAGCTGACTGGAACCAGCAGTAACGGGGCACGGAAAACACTCCCC